AGGTTTTAAAATATTCTAGGGGGCGCTGTGGAGGCTATTGGGCAATTATCATGGCTTCCTGTTCAAGGGGTGGATAATGATCGATCATACTGATTTTGGTGCACCTTGGTTCAAATCTGTGGAATTTAGAGCCAAACGTATGGCGACGGCGTTACATCTTACTTCGCCACGTCCCGACGCCCACACGCTCCACCCCAAACTGTCAGTGTTGGAAAGCAAGTTACACCAACATGTCTTCGGTCACTGGACACACTATCATGCTGATCAGGTGACAGGGGTCAGATAGGGACCGTTCAAGGTAAAACTTTACACTTCCTCTTGTCAGGGGGCGTGGCTTAAGTGATTCATGATTTGACTATTCAGTCTTGCAGGAGACCGGATGTGGATCAGTCACTTAAGATTTGATGTCTCACACAGTTTTTGTGTAAGAGCTATTAGCATTTCGTTATTCATGACGAGATGTCAAACTTTGAGGTCTGGCCCCGCCCCTTCAGCATGCATGAAAACGCACCGTTTTGATAACTTTCGTCCCCTGTGCCTTTTGACCAAAACAGCCAAGTTTGAAACTGATTGAGTGAAATCCCTAGGAGGAGTTCGTTGAAATGCGTAGGCTGTAAACCTCCAAAAAGGTGTGAAAGTTGGGCCGACATTCTAAAATGGCCACCTTCCTGTTTATCATACAACATTGGTGCCAGAGGGTTTTCTGTGCAGCTTGGGGACTTGGACGAGTGTACCAAATTTCATGTTTCTACGACAAACTAAGGTTATGGCAGAGGGTGTTTTGAAAATTTCCAGATGGCGCTTTTGAGCCGTTTCTGTTGTGATTTTTGCCACACCCTTAAAATACGTAATTTTTCACCAGTCATGATGCGTCTGCCAAATTTGGTGACTTTTGGGACATGCCTCCAAAATGCCAATTCATTTGACGGAAAAAATTGCAGCTCTGGCCTGAACACAGCGATTACAATAGGCCTGTGCAGCGCTTCGCTGCTCGAGCCTAAAATCCAAGCTGGCTGCCTTAGCTAAAAGAGAAAAAATACCATATCTCAGTCTTTTTCAGAGCTTTTCAGCTGAAATTTTGTATAATGGTAGCTGAGAGCGAACCCAAACACCTTTTGCTGTTAAATCAAGAATTTAAATCAGCAGCAGCCTGGCAGTCCCCTCAAAGTTTTTCCAGGAACTTTCTAGTTTAGGCCTGAGCAGCGAAGACTGGTGAAAAATTGGTATCAGTCAGACCTCCATTGCACGATTACAACTGGTTCAGAATGCAGCAGCCCGATTTTTAACCAGTACAGGCAAAAGAGAGCACATTACACCAGTTTTGGCCTCACTGCACTGGTTACCGGTTCACTTTCGAATCCAGTTCAAAATACTCATGTATGTCTACAAATCACTGAACAGTGTCGCCCCCCCCCCCCCCAATCTCTCTGATTTGCTACAACCGTATGTCCCACCACGTTCCCTGAGGTCAGCGAACCAGTTGCTCCTCACAATTCCAGGAACTCGTCTTAAGCGCAGAGGTGACAGGGCCTTCTCTGTAGCAGGACCAAGACACTGGAACGAGTTACCTCTGCTTGTCAGACAGGCCCCCTCCCTCTCGGTTTTCAAGTCCCATTTAAAAACTCACTACTATTCAGTAGCTTTCAACACCAGATGATCTGTGTTTTGATCCTGTATGCTCTACACTGGTTTGTCGTCATTATCTGCATCATTTTTTGTCTAAATTCTGATTTACCTCATTTTGTATTTTGCTTTGTGTTACCTGTTGTTTTGTCTGTACAGCACTTTGGTTGGCCTTGTTGCTGTTTTAAGTGCTCTATAAATAAAGTGGTATGGTATGGTATGGTAAAAATTATGTATTTTAAGAGCTTGGCAAAAATCGCAACAGAAATGGCTAATGAGCGCTACTTAGAAATTTTCAAAATACCCTCCGCATTAACCTTAGTTTGTCGTAGAAACATGAAATTTGGTACACTTGTCCAATTCCCCAAGATGCACAGAAAATTCGCTGGCACCAACATTGTACGATAAACAGGAAGGCGGCCATTTTGGAATGCCGGCCCAATTTTCACACCTTTTTGGCGGTTTACAGCCTACGCATTTGAACAAACTCCTCCTAGGGATTTCACTCAATCGGTTTCAAACTTGGCTATTTTGGTCAAAAGGCACAGGGGACGAAAGTTATGTAAACGGTTCGGAACATGCTGAAGGGGCGGGGCCAGACATCAAAGTTTTGACATCTTGCCATGAAAAACGAAACGCTACTAGCTCCTAAATGAAAACGGTCTGAGACATCAAACCTTCAGTGATTGATCCACATCCGGTCCCCTGCAAGAATGAATAGTCAAATTACGACATCACTTAAGCCATGCCCCTGACAACAGGAAGTATAAAGTTTTACGTTGAACGATCCCTATCTGACCCCCGTTACCTAATCAGCATGATAGTGTGTCCAGTGACCGAAGACATGTTGGTGTTACTTGCTTTCCAACACTGACCGTTTTGGGTGGAGCATGTGGGCGGCGCAGCGAAGTAAGACGCAATGCCGTAGCCATACGTTTGGCTCTACATTCCACAGTTGTGAACCGAGGTGCACCAAAATCAGTATGCTCGATCATTATCCACCCCTTGAACAGGAAGGCATTATAAGTGGCCAATTGCCTCTACAGCGCCTCCTAGAATATTTTAAAACCTCAGCCCCAAGCCATTTTTTGACCGATAATTCTGAAACTCGATGAACATCTGTATCTTCTCAGGACCTATGAAAAGTCTCTTGGAGCCCAGGTCCAAAACCAACAGGAAGTTGGCCATTTTGGGTCAAAGGTTCATTTTTGGGCATTTCTAATTGCAAATTTTAACAAACTCCTCCTGGGAATTTTGAAGGATTGCCTTCAAACTTGGTTGATATGACCTTAAGACATTGGAAAGTAAAACTTATCTAAAACTTGCGTTTTCGTACATGTTAAAGGGGCATGGCCAGGCCTCAAAGTTTTGCTTCACGCCATACATTTCCAAACACTATAACTTTCACATTGAAAGACCAAAATGCACGAAACTTGACATAACTCATCCCTGTTGGATGCCGGACAATCCACTTGGTCATATTTTGACTTGATCAAAGCCCCCGCCCTGTCGGAACGGGAAGTCTCTTTTTTTTACTTGGAATGTTCTCTCTTTGACACCATTGATCCAATCAGGAGGATCCTGTGTTAGAAGACAGATAATATGGTCTGACTTGATTTAAAGCGCAAACCGTTTTTGCTTGAGGATGTGGGCGTGACGCCGTTGCTATATGTTTGGCTCTAAATTGTCATTAGTGAACACTTCTTGACACATTGGTATTGTTTTTTAACTTTTGACTCAAGTACGCCCCCTAGATTATTCCAACAGTTAGATTTCAATGAAATATCATCCAATATGTACCAGATTTATTGTGCCTGATCAGTGAGCACTTATAGACACATTGGTATTGTTCTTTAACATTTGACTCAAGTGCGTCTCCTACATTATTCCAACAGTTATATCTCAGTGATACATCATCCGATCGGAACCAGATTTTTTGTTCATAATCAGTGAGCACGTCTAGACGCATTGATATTGTGGTTTAATGTATGACTCAAGTGTGCCCCCTAGATTATTTAATCAGTTATATCTCTGTGAAATATCATCCGATCTAGACCATATTTTGGGTACGTCATTAGTGAGCACTTCTAAACACACTGGTATTGTTGTTTAACTTTTGACTCAAGTGCGCCCCCTAGATTATTCCAATAGTTAGATCTCAGTGAAAATATCATCCAATATGTACCAGATTTATTGTGCGTAATCAGTGAGCACTTATAGACACATTGGTATTGTTGTTTAACTTTTGACTCCAGTTCGCCCACTAGATAATTCCAACAGTTAGATCTCAGTAAACTATCATCCCATCTGAATCAGAATTTTTGTGTATAATCAGTGACCACATCTAGACACATTGATATTGTGGTTGAACATATGACTCAAGAGCACCCCCTACATTATTCAAAGAGTTATATCTAAGTGAAATATCATCCGATCTAGTCTAGATTTTTCGTACGTCATTAGTGTGCACTTCTACACACACACTGGTATTGTTGTTTAACTTTTGACTCCATTGCACCCCCTTGATTATTCCAACAGTTATATTTCAATAAAATATCATACAATATGTACCAGATTTATTGTGCGTGATCAGTGAGCACTTATAGACACATTGATATTGTTCTTTAACGTTTGACTCAAGTGCGCCCCCTAAATTATTCCAAGAGTTATATCTCAATGATACATCAACCAATCTGAACCTGTGTTTTGGTGCTTCATCAGTAAGCACTTGTAGACACATTGGTATTGTTGATTCATGACATCACTTAAGCCCCACCTACTCAGAGAAAAAAACTGTTGATTTTTGGATGACACTTCCAGCTTCTCCCTGTGTAAGATATTAGACTGAAACTTTGTTCACTAACTGTTGATTACCACACATGACATGTTGAAAAGCATAAAGGAAGTGCTTGTCAAACATTCGCAGCAAAACAGGAAGTCACCATAACTGGAAGTCATGTCTGGAAGGTCAGATTTCACCTATACTTGTAAGACCTGCAGCTGGACAAGTAACAACATGGACGAAAGGCGATGTCGAAGAGTCGGGAAATGCACCCCATGGTGAAAGTGTAGGGGCCTGGCACAAGAGCATTCACGATGGCGACTGGGTGGACTAGCTGGAGCTCCCGCGGTCGCCGTAAGGCTGGAGCGGCGCTTTGCTGCGAGGGCCTCCAATGCTGCTTGCAGCTTTAATTTTTAATTTTTATTCACAGCTCCACAGATTTCTCCTATTTAGGTTTTTGTATTTATGACAACTTTTTAAGTTTTTCATTTGTGTTTTAGTTGTTTTTCAGGCACAGTATGACTCAGGAGAACACTTACCAATTTCCCCAGTGTATTTGCGAGGTGTCAGAGCAGTTGTGTTTCTGTGTGAACAGGACAGTCCAGACCTGCTGCTGTTGCTGAGGATGCTGTCTCTGGGTCAAGGTGCCTGGGACATGATTGACAGCCAGGTCTTCAAAGAGCCACGTTTGGTGCGTATTCATTCAAATCTTCATTGTTTCTGTTTATTACTGTATTTTCCACCGTACACGTCGCACCACCTTATAAGTCGCATCAATCCAAATATGTCTAATAAAGTTGAAAAATTCATAAATACGTTGCTTCGCTGTATAAGTCACATCTATTATGCGGCACCGCTGACGCGTTTGTTACGCTTCACCGCTGACGACCTGGAAATGTGGGCCGGTGTTGTGCCAAAAATCGATTGGCTGCCAAATGGCAGCCGCGGGAGCGTGCACAGGTGGACTTTAACAAGAATTTAACAAGATTAACACTTAAAAACAATTATTTGTTTGCTCGACTTTATAGTAAAGGTGTGTCTCAGTTGAAGTTTTACTTAATAAAAGGACTTTAATGGTCAAATCAGCTGCAGTTCAAAAGTATTTGCTGCCTTGGTGCTCCGAGTACGCACAGAGGGAGGAAATCGGGCAGGAGGAATGCTGCGCATTTCTTCAAAATTTATCAAGATAAGCATCTAAAACAATTATTTGTTTGCTTGATGTTAAAGCAAAGGTGTGTCTCAGTTGGAACTTTTACTTTAAAAAATGCACTTCAATGGTCAAATCAGCTTCATTTCGCCGGGGCAGCGCAGCGAAATGAAGCTGATTTGATGGTTGCTCCATGCGAGCTCGACGAAGGTGGCAGGCTATGGCAAGCCGATTGTGTCATTAATAGCCACTTTTACCTATTAGTCAAGTCAAGTCAGATTTATTTATAGAGCACATTTAAAACAGAAACTGTTACCAAAGTGCTTAACAAAAATATCACATCATCAAATAAAAAGTAGCAAGATATATTTATAGCACATGGAATAAAAATATAAAACCAAAAACAATTAGAAACAATGAAATACTAAATCAGATCACGTTGTGTCAAAAGTCAAGGAAATAAAAACAAAAAGCATAAACTCAGTCAGAAACAATGAAATACTAAATCAGATCAGATGACCTTGTGTTAAATAGGAATAATAACAAAAGCATAAACAGAATCAGCATCATTGAAAAACTAGATCTAAATCCGATCACCCTGTGTTAAATGTCAGTGAGTACAGATGTGTTTTTAGGAGAGATTTAAAAGCAGAGACTGAGGTGGCCTGTCGAATGTTGATGGGCAGATTGTTCCAGAGTTTAGGGCCCACGACTGAAAACGCTCGATCTCCTCTGAGCTTCAGCTGGTTTTTGGTACGGCCAAAAGCAGCTGGTCTGATGATCTCAAAGCCCGAGAAGGATCATAAGGATGAAGAAGGTCAGAGAGATATGATGGTGCAAGGCCGTTAATGCACTTGAATGTCAGCAGGAGAATTTTAAAATCAACTCTGACACGTACAGGAAGCCAGTGAAAAGAGGACAGAACCAGAGTAATGTGCTCAAACCTGCGAGTTCCTGTTAGTAGCCGAGCTGCAGCATTTTGTACGAGCTGGAGACGTGAAAGTGAAGCCTGACTAACCCCAACATAAAGTGAGTTACAGTAGTCCAGCCGGGTTGTGATAAATGCATGGACTAGTTTTTCAAGGTCAGATCTGGACAGAACGGACTTAAGCTTTGATATCTGCCTTAGCTGAAATAAGCTTTTTTTGTAGAACAGAGTTGATCTGTTTATTAAACTTAAAGTCAGAGTCTAACACTACCCCGAGATTGGTAACCGACTGCTTTAGATGTGGCTGAAGGGAGTGCAGGTTTACAGGATCAGTGACAGTGGTAGAGCTTGGGTTAAACACAATGACCTCAGTCTTCTGATAATTAAAACTCAAGAAGTTTGCAGCCATCCAAGTCTTGATGTCATCAAGACATTTTAGCAAAGGGTGGATGGAGCATGAACTGTTTGGTTTTAAAGGCAGATAGATCTGAGAGTCATCGGCGTAACAGTGAAACGAAATACCAAGTTTCCTCAGGATTGACCCCAAGGGGAGAAGATACAATGAGAACAGAAGGGGTCCAAGAATGGAGCCTTGTGGGACCCCACAGGAAAGAGGGACAGAAGCAGAAAAATGATTGTCAAAGTTAACACAGAAACTCCTGTCACCCAGATACGAACGGAACCATTCTAGCGCCACCCCTGTAATCCCAACCCAGTGTTCTAGCCGTGACATAAGGATGCTGTGATCAACAGTGTCAAATGCAGCGGTAAGGTCGAGGAGTACCAGGATCACAGACTGACCAGTCATTCGCTAGCAGAATGTCATTACAGACCCTTACTAAAGCTGTCTCGCTGCTGTGCAGTTGTTTAAATCCTGACTGAAAAATCTCAAAAATTCCATTTACATTCAAAAACTTGGTTAGTTGACTAAAAACAATTTTCTCCAAGATTTTAGAAAGAAATGGAAGTTTTGAGATTGGCCTGAAGTTAGAACAAGCTGCAGGGTCAAGTCCGGGTTTTTTAATTAATGGAGTTACCACTGCATGTTTTAAAACATCAGGAACCACACCTGTAGCCAAACTGCTGTTAATAATGGCAAGAACAGAGGGTCCAGTTGACAGTAGAACCTGTTTAAAATATGCAGCAGGGATGGGATCAGCAGGGGAGCCTGAGGGTTTCATGTGACCAACGACCTCATTTAAAAATGAGAGGAGATGGGGTCAAAGTGACTGAAGACTGCTGAGCAGGGGACAAGAACTGAAGGGTCGGCTGTGGAGTGTGGAATTGATGACCTAATCGACTCAACCTTTTCAACAAAATGCCTGACAAACTTATTACAGGTGTTGACAGAGGCCTCAATGGTGGCAGACTGAGGCACGTTTAGAATGGTGTTAATGGTGCTGAAAAGAACGCGGGGGTTGTGACTGTTTGAGTTGATAATTTTTGAGAAATATTAGTTTTTCTCCTGTTTAACGGTGGTCTGACAGGCTTTCCAACATGTTTTTAACATCTCAAAAGACACCTGAAGTTTATCTTTTTTCCATCGACGTTCAGCTCTTCTGCACAGGTGTCTTGCCTCTCGTGTAGTCTCATTTACCCAAGGGTGGGGCATGCGTTTTCGATTCCTGAGCTTTAACGGGGCGACTGAGTCCAGGATCTGTACACAGGCCTCCTGATGCTGAGAAAGCAACTCCTTTGTAGTAAGACCTGCAGAGAGTTCAGAGTCTGAAACAGAATTACCAGCAAAGATGGAAGATAAGAGTGTGGTGGTGGAAGGGTTAAAAATCCTACAGGGCTTGGGTGTGGGGGGAGGTGCAGGTTCACAAATCAATGAGGTGTTGAATAAAACCGGTTTGTGATCGGAACAAACAGTGTCACCAATTTCTAAATCAGAAACAGACAAACCATGTGTTAAAACTAAGTCTAGAGTGTGGCCCTGCTGGTGAGTCGGACCAACAACACTCTGAACAAAGTTAAAGGACTGGATGAGGTCTAGAAAGTCCTGAGCTAAAGTATCCTGATGCATGCTCAATAATCCAGGTAGAAAAATCTAAAAAAGTTAA